ACCAGGGCCCTGGGCAGCCCTGAACATTCTGTCCCCAACACTCATAGCTTGACTTTAGCAAAGCTTTTGATACTGTCACCACAGTATTCTTGCCAGCAAGTTAAAGAAGTAAGGGCTGGATGAATGGACTATAAGGTGGATAGAAAGCTGGCTAGATTGTCGGGTTCAACGGGTAGTGATCAACAGCTAGATGTCTAGTTGGCAGCCGGTATCAAGCGGAGTGCCCCAAGGGTCGGTCCTGGGGCCAGTTTTGTTCAACATCTTTATTAATGATCTGGATGATGGGATGAATTGCACCCTCAGCAAGTTCGCAGATGACACTAAGCTGGGGGGAGAGGTTGATATGCTGGAGGGTAGGGATAGGGTCCAGAGTGACCTAGACAAATTGGAGGATTGGGCCAAAAGAAATCTGATGAGGTTCAACAAGGACAAGTGCAGAATCCTGCACTTAGAAAGGAAGAATCCCAGGCACTGCTACAGGCTGGGGACCGACTGGCTAAGCAGCAGTTCTGCAGAAAAGGACCTGGGGATTATAGTGGATGAAACGCTGGATATGAGTCAGCAGTGTGCCTTTGTTACCAAGAAGGTTAACGGCATATTGGGTTGTATTAGTAGAAGCATTGCCAGCAGACTGAGGGAAGTGATTATTCCCCTCTATTCAACACTGGTGAGGCCACATCTGGAGTATTGCGTCCAGTTTTGGGCCCCCCACTACAGAAAGCATGTCGACAAATTGAAGAGAGTCCAGTGGAGAGCAACGAAAATGATTAGGGGGCTGGGGCACATTACTTACGAGGAGAGGCTGAGGGAACTGGGATTATTTAGTCTATAGAACAGAAGATTGAGGAGGGATTTGATAGCAGCCTTCAACTACCTGAAGGGGGGTTCTAAAGAGGATGGAGCTCAGTGGTTCTCAGTGGTGGCACATGACAGAACGAGGAGCAATGGTCTCAAGTTGCAGTGGGGGAATTCTAGGTTGGATATTAAGAAACACTTTTTAAGTAGGAGGGTGGTGAAGCACTGGAATGGGTTATCTAGGGAGGTGGTGGAATCTCCATCCTTAGAGGTTTTTAAGGCGTGGCTTGACAAAGCCTTGGCTGGGATGATTTAGTTGGTGTTGGTCCTGCTTTGAGCAGGGGATTGGACTAGACGACCTCCTGAGGTCTCTTCCAACCCTAATCTTCTATGATTCTATGAGACCCCAAAATCATGAGTGTGTCTTAAAAAAATAAAATAAAATAAATTGGGAGCAGTGGGGGAGTGGGGGGGAAGCCTCCACCTACCACCAAAACATCGACTAGTTGCGCTAAAGGAATTCCCCTCTGGCTGCAGGGTGGGACAGCCCCTCACCCTCTCCTGCCCCATGGGGTGGGGGAGCTGCCCTTGTATCTCTCCCTCTCATTCTCCCCGATTCCTACCCTGTTTCTCTCCCTCCCCCAGCCAGTCTGCTCTTGCTCTGTCTCCCCCCAGCCTCCCCTCCCCACATCCCCCCTTTCCTTCGCAGTGCCCCCCATTCAGTTTCCCTCTATTGCAGCCTTGTTCCCGTCTGCCCTATAAGTCTCCGCCCCATCCTCCCTTCAGCAACCTCCTGCCCCCTAAAATCCCCCCTTACCCTCACCCCGCCCCTCTTCAGCCCCGTACCGGCTCCCCGCGTGTGTCTGCCCCAGCCCCAGCACGGCCCGGGCTGGCTCCCCCCCCGCCCCGCACACACCGGGAGCTGGCGGCAGCTTTCCCGGGCTCAGGGCGGGAATCGCAGCCAGCTCCGCTGGGAGCAGCCTGGGGCCAAACCCTCCCCCTGCAGCCCGGGTGTGACGGGGGGGGGCGGGTCTCTCTTACCTTCCCTCCGAGCGGGCCCCCCTGGGGCAGGGGCCGGGCCGGGGAAGGGCCCTGGCCAGGCTGGGGGCTCTGCCCTGGGAGAGGCTCTTGGGCAGCAGCGGGAAGGGCCCTGCTGGAGATTCCCCTCTCCCGGCTGCAGCCAGGGCTCCGGGCTCCCAGCACCAGCCGCCGGGGCTCGGGGATCTCGCCAGGAGCCAGAGTCACCGCAGCGGCTGCGAGTCACTTCCTGCTGCCGGGACTGACCCCAGCGATCGCTCCCCCCAGAGCCGCCTCCCAGCCGCTCCTGGGTCCTAGCGATCAACCCATCGCGCTGCAGCCCCCTGCCCCAGACACTTACCATCAGGATCCATACAGAGGCAGCTTCTCTCAGCATTAAGGGGGCATCGTGCACAGAAGCCAATGCACCCATGGGCGGACAGACAGGAGATGATTCCAGGGATGGGGAGATGGGGTGTATGTGAGGAGACTCGGGCTTGTTACCTGGTGCGCGGGAGTCTGGGTGCCACTCACTCAGTGTCACCCTGGTGCCCCACCTGTTTCGTGGTGGAGCGCCTTGGTCACAGCTGCTTGGGCAGTGGGGCAGCCAGCACTGCTCCTCCTCACCGCTGCAGTGTGGGACAGCCTCCTGACACCCCCTTCCCCTCCTCCACATACACACACAAATTGGGGCCTAGACTGATGCCTAAATTGCCAGTGCCTTAATCTGGGCCTGAGCTCACTTGATCCCTCCAGGGTTGGGGTTTTGGAGAGGAGGGGAGTTGACTCATTAGCTGTGCCCAGCGGAGGTGGGGCCTTTCGCTGGGCCAGAGAGAGAGAGAACAATTCTGTAGTCCAGGGGGCACCTGGCTGGGAGGGTCCTGTCTCCTTCTTTAATGACTCATCCAAAGTGCCACGGGAGGACACATTGAGGGAGTCCCATACCAGAAGATCCCATGGCCCAGTGGTGAGAGCACTCTCCTAAGAGCTGTGAGGGGACCCTGATCAAATCCTTTCTGCAGTGGGGGTGGGGGGGTGATTGAACCTGGGTTTCCCACAGCGGGGTGACTGCTCGAACTCCTGGGCTGAATGTTTAAAGGAGGAATCCCCCACGCACACTCCTCTACTATGGCTACATGTAGCGAGGCGCCTGTCTAACCCACTTGCTCCCACAAGGAAAGAGCTTAGAACCTGCCTTCCTTCCCAGCTATGCATTCACAATCAGACATAGGTGCTGTGATGCTACTCAGGGCTGGGTGTTCCCTTGCTGTCACCAGCATGAGGGAGTCTTGCCTTTGCCAGCTGGGTGTTAGCACCTTAACACAACCAGCCTCTCAGCCACCATACTTCTCTCCCCTGGGCTACACCAGCCCCACCTTTGCCCTCCAGGTTGACAACAGATGCACCCCAGCTCCTGCTTCCCTTCAAAGTGTCCCCCTGTGGTATCCAGCCCTTAATCACTGGATATCCACAGACGTCCCAGTTCCATTGTTCCCAGAGGAACAGCGTACGCTGGTTTACCAGTTTCACCATACACCACCACTCCAATGTCTCATGCAGCACTGGAGTCTGATGATAAGGGGAAAAAAAAGCTTCTTAAGAATAGAGATTCAAATAGAAACAAGTGTGAGGTACTCATGTGGGAATTCTGCATCAAAAAATTACAAATTCTGCACCAAAAAAATTACAAATTCTGCACACAATATTTTAAAATTCTGCTGGGGAATCTCTTCCTTGTTTTCACTGCCTATCTCATCACCTGTTGGGATAGGGAGTGAGAATCCAGACAGGACTCATTCTCTGGGCTGGGGAGAGAGGACAAAGAGGGGAACAGTAAAGAGAGGAAAACACCAGAAGAATTGTTGAGCGAAGAAATTGGAGTCTGCTTTCATGTCCCATCCAGACAGCAGAGGGGAAGCAAAGGCAGGGAGGGAGTTCCTACCAGCGGTCGGCCAGGATGGGTGTGAAACTGTGTGTGACATCGGGCATGAAGATATGACACCTGCTAGTTACAACCCTGACCTGGAGAGATGAGGTGGAACTGGGGAATCCTTCGGATAACATTTCTGGAGGCATCTGGCACTAATCAGAGGGTTTCTCTACCAATTTCATTGATACTTTGCCTGTGCAAGTGCCTCTCCTAGCTTTCCTCAGCGCGCTGGAGATCGGGGACCACCAGCTCTTCCCCTTGTTCCAGCTGGGTGATCAGGTCAGGTTCGGGAATGGGGGTGAAATCAGGATGCATCATGTTTGTCAGAGGAACATTCCTTGATTGTGCTTTGGCTCCGTACTGTGCTGGGAGGGGGACATGGAATCTGAATGGATCTGAACCGTGGGGAACATGGTCACTGAGACCCAGATGTCTGTTTAGGTGTGTGTAGGGGGGTTGCACCCTCAGGAGGGGCACTTTCTGTGTCCCCCGCGACCGGGGGAGCTGGCTCTCCCCATCCACCCCCCATGGCCGGGAGGGCCTGGTTCTCTTTGATGCCTGCAGCCCTGGGGCCGGTGGAGTTTGCTCTCCCCCAGCAGCTGGAGGAGCTGGATCTCCCCACCCCGGCCCCAGAGGAGTTCTGTGCCCCCGCAGCTGGGGGATCCCGTGTCCTTGCTTGCCGCCCCCCCCCCCCACGCACATCCCTGGGTGCAGCCGCACAGTGCATTAAAGGGGATGGAAAGGGGGTGACTTCAATATCTCGGGGAGGGCGGACAGGGGGGATTTCTATGGGGACTGGGGATTGTTCCCGGGGTCTCCAAAATCAGGGGACACAAGGCCATGGGGGCCTGGCCCTGGCAGTGCTTAATTTGTGCCAGGGCTGAGCCCCGGCACCTCTAGGCTTGTTGCATTAGTTATGAATGTAAAAAAATTGCTTGAGCCCCCCCAGCCCCTCTTACATTACAGATTAAGCCCTGGATCCTGGCCCTAGAGAGGCTGCGCGGAGCCCCGAGCTGCAGGGGACGCGTTTCTCAGTGGCACTGATCTGTCTGCTATTTGCTCTGCAGGTTTCTAGAGTTCAAGGGCAGAGAGAGAAGGGCTCTGGCCCCAGATCTTCCCTGGGCCAGGGCTGTGCAAGGTTCATTAGCTGCTGTATCCAGAGGGCTCTGGTTCTTGCTCCGGCGGGGAGGGGAGGGGAAGCTCTGGCTCTGTTTATCTTCCTGGGTCAGGAGCTGCTGATTCCTCCCTTGTCATCTGGGGAGGAACCAGCAGCTGCTGCTCCCCAGCCGGGTCTGGGCAGGGGCGAGACCTTCATTAAAGCTCCTTCTGTGCCCAGCCCAGGTGGGGACTTTTTGGAACTAGCCCCTGGGCCATCCCTAGGCTCTGCCAACACCAGCTCCTGAGCCGGAGACTCCAGGTGATGGAGGGATGGGCAGGAAAGTCACCGCACAAAGGGCCCCAGGAGACTCGGATCTGGCAGCTGTGTGAAGTTGCCTGGGGGTTGATCTGACCTTAGCAGCACCCCTTTGTGGGGGAATCTGCTGGGGGTGGGGGAGACAAACTGGGGGATTCAGGAGGGGAAACAGGGAAGGGGAGACCAGGAACGGGCCCCACCCACTGGGTTTTCCCCTTTGTGTTTCTGGATTGTCAGAAAGGGAAGGGGGTGAATATGGAGGCAGAACGAAGGAAAAGCAGTGAGGGGAATGGAGAGGGTGGGTTTGGTGGTTATTCTTCCTTTAAAAACCAAACCCATTACTTCCCATCCATCCTCCCTCCCAGCCCCGCCCCCCCCCCCCCCCGAATTCCACAGAAATCTCTTCACTATTCAGCTGCTGACAGCGACATGTTTCCTGCAGCAAATACATCCCAGCTACAAGGAGGCAAGGTCCTGTGTTAACGAACAGTGCAGTATGTGATTCTAGCATTAGAGATTGTATTACAGTATAATGCGCCGGATGAAATCGATATTCCCCAGATACTCTTTATTCTGGCACAGCCTAGCTGTGAGTGGTGGACTTTGCAACCTCAATAACATTTTCTTAATGTAGTTTTTGAAGGTAATATAGAAAAAAACCCCAAACCCTCCAATTCTGATGCATCTCTTTATAAGTTACTTCTCTGGCCACCTTTCTCTCCAATAATCAAACATTGCTGGACCATCCTTCAGATTTTTTCTCTTATTGAATTTGGATATAATTTTCTATCTGATTTTGATCCATTTCTCTGTATTTATACATTATTAATCTCTGTGTAAATATTGCTTATTGTTTTCATCTACATATGCATTATTAATATAAAAACCTATCAGATTTTGCTGGTTTTTTTGTTTAATTAGTGAAGATATGTAAATTTTCATAGATTTGCCTCATTTTCTTGCTCACTTATCAATCCTGATAAAAAAAATCTCAGTATTCACTGATGTTTTGCCACCTATAATTATTGAATAATAGACAATTCCCTCAGTTTTGCAGAACTATTGCCATGAATTATTGACTTGATTACAGGGAGAAAATATCAGCTACTTAAAATTTCTTTCATCTAGCGGAGAAAGGCATAACAAAAACTAATGGCTGGAAGTTAAAGCCAGACAAATTCTGATTAGAAATAAGGCCCGAATTTTTAACATTATTAGCCAAAGACATTAGTACTCCTGCAATGTTGGGAGACCCACATTCAAATCCCTTCTCCACATCCCAAGCAAGTGTCCTAGCCGCCAGGGTAAAGGTTATAAAGGAGGCACCAATATCTTCTCTTCTGGCCATTTTATGAAAGGTGCCTTGGTCCCGCCACAATTTTGGGGTGGGGGGGGGGAAGAAATTATTTGGTGAGTTCTATCAAATTCACAAATAGTTTCAGGTCGACTGAAACTATGTTCTTCAGCAACTAAACTCTGGCCAAAAAATTTAACCCAGCTCTATTTGGGAACAGACTCCCCCAGTTCTGCATCACCTCAATCCAACCAGGGTTGAACCAGTAGGTGTCATCATGCACTCATGAACTTGTCTCTCTCCCCAACAGAAGTTGGTCCAATAAAAGATGTTACCTCACCCACCTTGTTTCTTTAATACCCTGGGACCGACATGGCTACACTGCACTGCCATAAATCATATACTCCTGGCTTCCCACCTGTCCTAACTGATAGCTGGCAGGAGTTTCTGCCCTGACTTTGTTTCCCCCTGAGTGCTTGGATGGGATGGGGAGGCAGAATCCAATTCCTCAATCTCCTAAACACTTATTATGTTGCGTTTCCGCTCTTTGCTGTTCTCCTTTCTTTCCGGCCCACGGAATGACTCCTCTCTGGATTGTATCTCTCTCTCTCTCCCAGCAGGTGATGGGACAGTGAGTGAGAACAAAGGAGGAGAATCCTTAGCAGAAAATCCTCAGCAAGTGTAACTGCACAGGACGTTATCAGGAAGAACTGAAGGGAATTTCTTCCAGAGTTGTAAGAGAGGCAGCTAGGAAAAAAGTGGATAAATCTATTTGTTGTGGGAGCGGCTGCGGGAATCTCAAGGAAACCACATCCCAGCAAGGAATCCAAATGGGAGAGAGAAAAAACACATCCACTGAGTTTGGGAAAAGTTTTAATGACAGCTCACACCTTCCTAGACATCAGAGAACACTCACAGGGGAAAGACCCTTCAAGTGCTTGGACTGTGGGAAAAGCTTCAATCTGAGCTCAAACCTTCTTACCCACCAGAGAACCCACACAGGAGAGCGACCCTATAAATGCTTGGACTGTGGGAAAAGTTTCAGCCTGAGCTCAAACCTTCTTACACATCGGCGACACCACACGGGAGAGCGACCCTATAAATGCTTGGACTGCGGGAAAAGTTTCATTCAGAGCTCCGATCTTATTTCACATCAACGACTCCACACAGGAGAGAGACCCTATAAATGCCTTGACTGCGGGAAAAGTTTTATACAGAGCTCACACCTTATTAGACATCAGAGTCTCCATTTGGGAGAGAAACCCCATAAGTGCCTCATCTGTGGGAAAAATTTCACTCAGAAGTCACACCTTATTAGACACCAGGGAATCCACACAGGAGAGGAGCCCTATAAGTGCACTGACTGTGGGGAAACATTCGTTCAGAGCTCACAGCTTATTGTGCATCAGAGAATCCATAAGGGAGAGAAACCTTTTAAATGCTTGGACTGTGGGAAAACCTTCAGTCGGAGTTCCCACCTTATTGTGCATCAGAGAACCCACACGGGAGAGAAGCCCTATAAATGCTTTGACTGTGGGAAAAGTTTTAGTGTCAACTCAAACCTTATTACGCATCAGAGGACCCACACAGGAGAGAGACCCTATAAGTGCCTGGACTGTGGGAAAAGTTTCCAGCGGAGCTCACATCTTATTAAACATCAGAAAATCCACACGGCGAAGAGGACCTGAATGTGGGTGACTCTTCACTTGGGGCTATGATCATAACTGGCTTCTGCAAATCCATACAGGATAGAGACCTCCTAAATGTCCATAGTGTGGCAAATGTTTCAAGCAGAGTTCACATCATATTGGACGTGAGAGACTCCACACAGCAGAGAAATTGTAGCAGGCTGCCAGCCTCTGCTGTCGTTAGGACCAGCTTTCTGTTTAATGCTTGTCTCTTCTAAGTGCTCTAAAACCTGCATGGTTACTCAGATAGCTCTGATATTTGGTGTACCTCATGGGTTCGTGGGGTAGGGTGAGTGAACTAAATTTGGGGTCACTTAAATATGGGGTTCCTGAGATATAGCCCCCTGACAACAGCTGCATTTTGCAAAGTTGAGAGGTTCCACCAATGGTTTTTTGCCCAGATCTGGGGATCTGTCACAGGGTTGGAGGATGCATCACCTCTGACCCTGTAACCCTGAGAGCCTCACAATGCTTTGCTACTGTAACTCCCTGCCTGGGACGGTCACAGTCAGCAACAAGCATGCAGGTCACAGCCTGAGTGTCTGTGTATAAATGCCACCCTGGTCCAGCCACTCTGACCCCAGCAACACAGCAGGCCCACTCCCTGCTCTCTACCAGCTGGGTTACCACCAGCAGGGTGACCCCAATGCACTCCCAGTCCTGAATTTTGCCCAGACTGTGTGCTCTGCAACGTGCAATGTCAACCAAATGTATTAACAAAAGGTCATAGGTTAAGTGATGCTGAGAAAAGGAATAAAAGTAGAGATGGTTACAAGCAAATGAAAGTGAAAATTTGCATCTAAAAGTCAAAAACTGAATCTAGCGTGGTATGGGCTTTATTCAAGATGGTTTCTCTCAGCAATCTTCCTTCTTGCCAGCCAGGGCTGAATTTCTCTCAGTCAGGATCTTCTGCAGAAGCCCAAGGGGCTGGCTTCCCTTGTCCACCTGGGTGAAAGACCTTTGCCTAAGTGGATTTCTTTCCTATATTCAGTTCCCAGAGACTTCAACCCCTCCCTTGGTTGAAGTGCCCATCTTTCTGAGCTTGCAAGAGATCTATTCCTTTGTGTCTGTCTAGTGAAGGATCCCAAAGATGGCTTCTGTCCTTGTTTTCCAAATTTCAATGACCTTGCTTTAAGAGGCAGGATGACCTCATGCTCTACTTCCCTTCCTGTGGACTTCCCAACCCCCTGCTGATTTCTATGTAAATGGGGCTTCCATTGTTTTTGGTTAAACCTTGCATTTAGGGTGAACAGATGTCCTAATTTTATAGGGACAGTCCTGATATTTCGGGCTTTGTCTTATATAGGCGCCTATTACCCCCCACCCCGTCCCGATTTTTCACACTTGCTGTCTGGTCACCCTACTTGCATTTCACCTTTCATTGCAGCCAGGTAGATAGCTGCCTTCTCTCCTACCTATTTCTCCTTGTCTGGCCACCGACTTTAAAGCATAATATCATTAGGTGTCCATATTTCCTCATATAGCGTTAATATGGACATTTCACAATGTTATGAATCACCAGTGTGTCATTAGCTTTCAGAAAAGACCTCACTCTATATACTTTTATAAGTACAGTAATATTGTATCCAATCAGTTGATTCAATTGCTTATCCCTTGAGATTCAGCCCCTCCGTCTTTATACACCAGTAAACCTTTGCAATGTATTCTCCTGAATGTTACTCCTCCAAGTAAAGTTTATGTGAGGAAGGTAACATGGGGTCATGTGGTGATGGTTTTTCCCCCCTGCTGGTATTAGCTAAAATTCAAATTGTTCTGTTCTCTGCAATCTCCTCCCGCTGATGTCTGGATAGTCCTGTTATAGGTAAATTGAGGTAAACACGCATTCCTTTGTTTAGGACAGACCTATGTCACACCTTTACCAAGGCAAGGCTGTCTGGTCTTGAACATGTTCTAGTAACATCATACGGGGGAACTCATAAGTTTACATATAGTGTTGCTACATACATTTCACCATGGTATGGTTGAGCAGCAAGTGATTTGTTTTTAAATGATACCTCACAAGGCCTATTTTGTGCAAAGACTGTTGCAATAATGCGGAGAGGTGTGTATACCTGGATGTTTTGGGTCACAGGGTCAAACCATGGCTCTGATCTGGGCACAGGGATCTCTAGCACTCATAGGCTCTGACTCCGTGGGTGCTCCGGGGCTGGAGCACCCATGGGAAAAAAATAATGGGTGTGTTTGGCGGTGGGTAGGAGGTGCTCAGGGAGGGGGCAGAGCTGGGGCGGAGTGGGGTGGGAAGAGGCGGAGTGAGGGTGGGGTCTTGGGGAAGAGGCGGAATGGGGCGGGGCCGTGGGGCAGAGCAGCAGTGGAAGCACCCACTCAGAAAAATGAAAGTCAGCGCCGGTGCTAGCTCTGTACATGTATCATAGCTAATGCATGGCATCTACTGTCCCGTTAAAAATGATGTTGTCAAGAGAGCTAGGTCTCAGGTTAGTCACCTACCTAATGCTTATGAGTTAAACTGATTACACTGAGCATGCCCAGAAAAGTCAGCCAACAGGCTTTTGAGTGTACCATTTTTCATGAAGTTGAATAGCTCAAGGGCATGTGCAGATGCCACTGTTCAACCCAACCTTCAGCCAGTGGTAGCTTGTATCCAATCTAGGGCTAAACTCTGTCTCTCTTGGGGGACAAGGCAGGTGAGATAATACGTTTTATTGGACCAACTTCCCTTGATGAAAGAGACAAGCTTTCGAGCCACACACAGCTCTTCTGCAGGGTTGGGAAATGTACTCCGAGCATCACAGCATAATGCAAGTTGGAACAGATTGTTTGGCATAAGTAGATAGCACATATTGTAAGTGACTATTCAAGGCAGACCATTAACACCTCTGCAGTCATAGGACAAAAAGAGAGGGGTAGCAGGTTACAGCTTGTCCTAATAAGCCATAAATCCAGTGTGTCTGTTCAGTCCTTGATTTTAGGTGTTTAGCAGTTATGAATTTAAGCTCCCAGGCTTGTCTTTTGAAAGTGTTGGGCAGGTTTGCTTTGAGGATGGGAACTGAGAGGTCAGATATGGAGTGATCACTTTGTGAAAAGTGTTCACCTATTTTGTCTTTTAGCATTTTCCTGTGTGAGTTCATTCGAGAGCGTAGTGATTGTCTGGTTTCATCCACCTACTTGTTATTGGGGGAGTTATTTTGGGGAAGTGTCATCAAGCTACTTTTTAGAAATAAAATAAATTAGACATACAAATGCTTGCTGAGAGGGAAGGGGAATCTGGGGACAGAGGTGATGGGTGGGAGAGGGGTTGGGGCTGCAGTGACTTGGGGGAGAGGGGCTATGGGACCAGTGACTGTTGAGGCAAGTTTATATCAGCATTTGATAATTAAGAGAGTATGAGGAAAACTCGGAGAAGATTTACACTAATTGGCTAACTAGACAGGGAAAAAAGCAAAATCTGAAAGGTTTGGTATCGATAGTGGGCATTTAGAGGAAAAATAACCAATATTTATGCATATAATATATTAGTAATCCCTAAACAGAAAACTTTATCAACAGCTTTGGGGGTTTTATATTAAAATTCAGTATGTGACTAAAATGGAGAAGAGCAAGAGATTGTGCAGCCATATTTGAGTACTGGAGAGAAAAAAGCCAAGAACAGAGGGGATTGTAGCAGCATATTAGCTAATTATATAGAAGAGCAGAAAAATTAGAAGGGCTTAATATCAACATTATCCTTAACCTGTTACTTTAAAAGGAAGCTCTTAAGGCTGAAAAGTCAAGCAGTTTCAGTTAGGCAGTGCCAGAATCAAGGATGTGTGGGCAAAGTTATTTCTTTTCCCTTGTGTCTTGGTATTAGGATACAATCTCTCATTACAAGATCACATGCTACTGTGCTCATTAGCACAGGGCATCTCTGCTGGAGCAAACATGTTCCTGTCAGCACTTAAAACGGGAGATTTACCCATCTCTGTGGAATTCAAGCTTGTCCCTGGGGAAGCCATGGGGTCAGATTAGTAAATGAATAATCATCCCCAAAACAAACACATTCTCCTCTCTGCTGTGTCACCATCTGTGCTCTGTCTTAGTCATGGCAAAACACACTGACTGACTGCGTGTGGTGGTAGTTACATTTTCTCTGTGTGGGCGACAAATTGTTCCTTTGCCTTTTCTGCTTGTGGTTTTGAACAATTTAAAACCGAAATCCATTTTTCCTGAGGCTTTACTGGAGTCTGGAAATGGGCGTGGATGTGAACTGTCGACTCAGAGAAGTCATAAAACTTATCACAAAAAAAATCACCCTTTGGTTCAAGGGTCACTGTGTACAGAAATCGTCAGGTTCTGGGTGAAGACAGGAGAAGATACCGATCGGCCCCAGTCAGAATCAGCCAGCAGCAAGTAGGACACAACTTGTTCCCAGGTCACAAGATGCCTCTGATATTAACCCAGGAAGTGATTGTAAGTCTGGCAGTCCCTGGGATGGGACTATTAGACTGTTCAGCATCTAGCACAGTACAGCCAGGCCAGATCGACACACACGACTGTCACTGACATAACTATATGGTCTTAATTCATTCCGTTAGTTATTTCACTGCAAATCTGTCTGTGTCTGAGACACTCTCGTTTCAGATTAAGAGCAACTTAAATTTGTTTCTTTTTGTATTCATCACCCTCTTTATCCTCCCTCCACCTTTTCTTTCCATTCCCTTTTTATTTCTCTATCCCCTTCTCCTCCCATTCCTTCTCCTCCTCATCCTATGTAGGTTGAACTTCCTTATTTTCTGATCTTTTCTCTATTCCTTCTCCCACCCCCTTCTTTTTCTGCACCTTCTGCTCCTGTGCTGGAGAGCAGCTTATAGCAGGTCAGGCAGGGACCTTCCATTATCAGCAAAATCACTTCTGATTCGGAGCAGAAGGCAGAGATAATGGAAGCCCAGCTCCTAGCAGCCATGGCTTCAGGGACTTCTGAACAGGGACTCCAAGAGGAAACCAAATGTCCCATCTGCAGAAACTATCTCATGGAGCCGGTGAGCGTAGACTGTGGGCACAACTTCTGCCGGGGCTGCATCTCTCAGCACTGTGACACATGGACAGAGCGGGACTATGATCCTTTGTGCTGTCCCATGTGCAGAACCCGGATCCAGAAGGAGAATCTCTGGCTTGACTGGGACCAGGCAAGATTAGTAGAAATCTATTTAAATAAAAGATTTTGTTTCAATTTTGCCTTTATTCCTTTTATTACACTGCTCTACAGCCAAAATGCTTCTGAAATAAATGTAGTCAAACTTTACTAATTCTGGGTCACTGAGAACGAAAATGATGCTTAAAATTGTTGATTGGCTCTAGTTTTCAAGATATGCTATTGGGTCAGTATATACGACCCTTGACTTGGGAATGGCAGAGGATAAGTGAGTTATAAAGGGAAGGGATCTCAATTTAAACCAGAAATGACTAAAATACATCTTTGACTGGATCTATGAATAAATCTATGACTGGGTTTGGACAGTACTTGCTTTTTAGGCAAAACAATGAATGATGCAATCTGAAGCTGGTATTGCATCATACATGATATGAATTGCATCATGTTATTCCTAGAAGTCATGGATGATGCAATCATAACGAAGCTTACATCACTCTGATGAACAAATTGCCCTATATCAGCTCTAGAAATCATACAGTGTCATGCTCTCTTATTTGTCCGTGTTTGATTTTGCAAAGGGACACATTTCTGTTTAGCCAAAGTGAGCAGAGATGCCTCGTACTTGTGTGAACAGTGCAGATGACTTCTGCTATGTTTGTGGTGAAGTGACTTTTGCATCACAAAAGCGCAGTATAATCACTATGGTTAAGAAAGCCTATCACCTTTATTTTGGCTGCAAAATTGGAGATCAGGACAAGAGGTGGGCCCCACACATATGCTGCAACACTTGTGCAACAAATCTTTGCCACTGGTTGAACAGGAAAAGGAAATCTATGCCTTTTGCAGTGCCAATGCTTTGGAGAGAGCCAACAGATCATACCAGCAATTGTTACTTCTGCATGGTGCCTCCAGTTGGGAAAGGTGTGTCAAAGAAGAAAAAGTGGACTCTGCATTATCCAAACATTCCATCAGCTATACGCCCAGTACCCCACGGAGAAGGACTGCCGGTTCCTGATGCACCAGAATCATTCTCACTTGAGTCAGACGAGGAAGAGGATGAAACTTC